CATGTACAATACAACTTAATTTATATTTACTTTTTTTATGGAGTTTAAATTTTTCTAATAGACTTTGAAAAAGGTTGATTTTATTGAGTCTTTAAGCCGTACATCGAGATGTAGGATGTTTCCCGTACATTGGTCGAACACTTGGTTATGAGTAAAATGATATTCATTTTACACAAGAAGCATTTATTTATGCAAAATTTTATTTGTATACTTAGATTTTGTCCTGACACGGAACATATGTACAACACTGGCATCATGCTAGTGTTGCACCTACATTTTATGTTAGGCAAACGCTTAGGGTACAAAATGCGGGGTAAGAATAATACATCCATTTATTTATTTTAGATATATTCAAGCCATACACATTAGAAAATATATGTACATAGATTTGAAAACTATAGTCGTTTTACTATATATATATGTGTGTGTGTGTGTGTATGTATGTATATGTGTTATATATATATATATATATATATATATATATATATATATATATATATATATATATATATTGGTTCTGGTGAGAATGCAATCTTAGGAGAGAAATGAGAATGAATCTGGTGCTTTAAATTGCGAGATCTAAGGGTCAAGATTTCATCAAAATTAGATGCACCAAAATGGTGCGAAAATGCATCACGTCGAAATGCACCATAAACCTTCGAAAATGCAGTATCTCAAAATCTGAGCGCATGATGCAATCTGAGCCGCACGATGCATCAGATCCGACGGCTAGATTTTATTCTCATTTCTCTACACAAAGTGCATTCTCACGGGAACCGGCCCATATATATATATATATATATATATATATATATATATATATATATATATATATATATAAACACGCACACATATTGATTGATTTATCAATTTATATTATAAAAAGGATTAATCTATTTGTACCCCAAAAATTGTATCTCAAATTATAAACCACTAGTATGCACATTCATGTTGTATCATTATGATTTTAGAGTAATAGTTCATACAAGCATTAAATGTTACTGCAAACTTTTTTAATCTCACTAACATTTTGTGCTAGTGTGAACTATCAAAAAATTAGTATACATCTTTATCGTACCTTTGAGATAAATTTCTTAGTGTAAACGTAACATTATTGCTATAAAAAATTAAAATAAGACAAATATTCTACCATTCTATAAAAGGTGATATTCCCTATTTGTTGATCTTTTTAAAATATTGGAATTAAACATTAAAATTCTTGAAATTGGTCGCAAACTAATCCTCAATATAATTTACTCCCAAAAACAAATTCTCAATATAAGACAAAGAGCAACGGCAATCCGGTGAAAATGGCGGCGAGTCGGGTGATATCTCTGTCACCGGGGAGTTTTAGCAGCTACTCCAACAGTAATCTCGCCGATATTGCGGCGAGAGTCGTCGAAGAGTTCAGAGCCGAGAACGGATACGATTCCGAATTTTACGAAGAACACGGCTTGTTTGCCGTTCTGGAAGGCGATGAGGATCTCGTCGCCGGAGATTCCGGTAATGCGGCGGGGAAGGATGACGGCAAAGACGTAAAGGAGATCGAATTCGAGTTTGTTCCAGGAGGAGCTGAGGTTTCGCCGATTTCCGCGGATGAGATTTTCTGTAACGGCGAGATCAAGCCGACTTTCAACCGGAATCTGTCGACAGGTTGCGTGAATTTCAAGCAGGGGAATTCCGGAGATGAGCGGACAGCGGCCAATCTGCCGCCGAAGGTTCGGCTTCCGTTGAGGAGACTGTTCAACGACGACCTAGATCCGCCGCCGCCGCGCCGCTCCTCTTCGGTCGGAGGCGAGATCTGCGGCGTTCCGCCGGAGACGTACTGCGAGTGGCGGCCGAATGCTCCGGCGGAGAAATCGTCGGCGAGGACGTGGAAGAAGAGCAGCTCCAATGGCTGGTCAAAGCGGTGGAGGTTCCGAGACCTTATCCACCGGAGCAACAGCGACGGTAAGGACAGATTCTTCTCTCCATCGCCGTCTTTCAAAAAGGGACCGGAGAAATCGGGAAAGCCGGCTGCAGCGGCGGCCGAGGCTTCGAACTCCGCGCACAAACCGCCATCTCCGCCGCGCTCCGTTAAGGGAAACGGTTATAAACGGCGATCGAACAGTTTTCTTTTCATGCTTCAACCTGATTGATAATCTTTCCCAGTTTAGCACTTTAGCCCATTCTTCCGGGTAAATATGGGGGCCTTGAAGAACTAATTGAATGAGTTGATGATAGAGTCATGTTTGCATAATTCTAAGGTCAATATTTAAAATAATATTTAAAATGTGGATTTTTTCATATTTTTTATGAATTTATATTTGGATATATTCTATACAAAAGACCCACTTTTTAACGCTATAAACACATTAAGGTTTATAAAATAAGCATGAACTTTAGATTCATGAAAAAATTTGCTTTGATGATAAAATGGTGATAACATGGTTATTGTTTTGATGTAAATATACTTGACTATTGGTATGTGTTTTGTTTGGTGGGCGATGCTAGGAATCCATTACGGATATGTGATAATTTCAGAGTATTTATATATATACACAAATGATTATCGTCTATATATGTATAAATAATCTATTATTAGAGCACCCGTGAGGATTCACAATATTTTTTTGTTTGATATTTATTGTTTTATCGTGTTATTTATAAGGTAACTTACCTCTTAGTTAGCTAATAGATATTCTAAAATTATGAGTCTTTGTCATTGATATCACGGGTTAATGGTATTTGGTCATCTTTACTTGCGCCATTGTTCTTCGCTCTTACTTTCACCTTTTACTTAAGCTCGATCAAATTCCTCTCTGGTGACATTCCTTTGGATAACTTGACATACCCAAAAAAATGTATGGCAATTCTTCTATCCATTTATGTTCTACTTCACCTAAAGTTTTCATTATCCCACCAACAAGAACTTTTTTAGTATTTTTCCCTAGATTTTTTGATTTCTTGGGAAAGATGTCTCAAGATCTACGAAAGAAAGGTAAACTTTGACAACATTTGCTTCCTCTTTTCCTTCTTTCTCTTCAACCTTCTTCTAGAGTTCGTTCAACTTGACTTTTAGCACGTCATTGTTTATATGGCAATTCCTAAGGTTTGTCGGATATGCATTGAAGCTCGAGTTTGGCTCTTTTGCTTGTTGCTTCTCCCTTTTAAGGATCTAGGATTTGACGGGGTGACTTCCGTTCATTCGACTAAGAATGCAGAGACTGAATGAATTTTGTCATTCTTTCCCTATTGAGTCATTCAAATATACTACTATGGAAGCCCCCCTCCCTCCCCCCCCCCTCCCCCCGGAAAAAAAATCTTTTCTCAGGCATAGAAAAAGATAGATAACCTTTTGATTATTGAAACATGCTCGTTGCTGGGCAAAAACATTAGAATATTACAAACTGTTCCAAACTTTGTGGCATGGGGTGACCAAACTTAGTGTTAGCATCGGTCGATCACGGAGAGCATGAGATTGTGATCGACAAAATATAGTTATGTAACCATCCATCCCAAGGGTGACATGATTAGAATTGTGGAATGGCTTATCCCCACTTGACAAGACTAAAATAGAGGTGATTTAGATTTTTTGTAGGATGGACAAAGTTGTTGACAACATTTTGAGTAGTGTCTTGCTTGAAAAATCTTATATCAAACTTAAATTATACACTTTTTCTACAATATTGCCAAAAATTATGTCATAAACTAATTAAATCAGGCTAATTATTTCTTAACCGAGTTTGACTATATCTAAAGCTAACAAGCTAGAATTTACAAGTAAATCACAATAAAGAAGAAAGATGACCAAAAGGCCATGGTGATCTTACCATTAATCTTAGTATGGCCACAAGAGTTTACAAGAAGGGATATGAATCAAACCCTAAATCTATCAAATGAGAAACAATACATGTATTTATAGGGATGGGTGACATCTATCAATATTAACCAATGATGATGCATTAATATAGATATTTAGATATGTTGAAATTTCAGCATTATTAAATTAACTCGTCTAACATTGTTTTTTGTATCATCAAAAAATAAACTTACATATGAATTTACTCATAACATCTGCTAAGATATGAATGTACTCAGTTGAAATAGTAATTTATAGTATATGAATTTACTCGAACAACCAAAAAAATTTAATAAATTTGTGTTTAGCATCAAATCTAAAATGCTTGTGCTTGAATTTAACAAATAATGTTGACCGTTTCGACCATATGAATGTTGACTTTACACCTACAATGCATATTTTCTTAAAAATCCTTTATTATAATAAAGGATACTCGGATGCACGAGAATGCGACATTTGGCACGCCTATTTGGCAAAAAATGGAACACATCAACAAGCCATGTAATATAATAGAAAAAATCCTTTAATATAATAAAGGAGACTCCGATGCACAGAAATTCGACATTTGGCATGTCTATGTGGCAAAATTTAAACATGTCAGCACGCCACGTAATATCCAAGTAAACCAACGAAAATAAATTATATACGATGCACCAGCAGATCTCCTGTTAGAAACAATTGACCGCAGATTTTCTACGTGATTTCAACGAAATTCTTTTCTTCATATTACAACAATACGAACTCCTATTGTGATGATAATATAAAATAATTAAAAATAAATATGAAAAAATATGAATACTATTTAAAAAACAAATATAATATTTTTCATTTAATTTAAATAGAATTTTAGGACCATGCTACATATATTAATCCTTTATCTTACTTCCATATTTAAAAATTACATACTTAAATAATAACTTACAAAGGTTTATTGTGGAAATTCGTGTATAATAAGAGTTAAAATCAATAGAGTACCTATATTAATGGAAATTAGAATATTATTTTTTTTCAAAAAAAATATATTAAGAAACAATCCTAAATAATACTAAATTTGAAAATGATGATCACGAGTATATTACTCATCATCTTACTTATATTATTTATGGTGGGTAATACTAATATTATTTTGCATCCGTTTACTTATATATGGAAATCCTTAATTATGTGTCTTGGATAATCAATAATATTATATGTTAATATATGTTTTCAGATTACAATAATACGAACTCCTATTACGAGGATAATATAAACAATTAAAAATAAATACAAAAAAATATAAATACTATTTAAAAAATAAAAAATAAAAATAATAATTTTCATTTAACTTAAATAGAATTTTAGAACCATGCTACATATATTAATCCTTTATCTTACTTTCATATTTATAAATTTCATATTCGTGTATATATAGGTTGAAATAAATAGAGTACCTATACTAATAGAAATTCCAATACTATTTTTGATTCCTTACTTATTTGTCTTAATTCCATGAGTATATATTATTGATCACCTTACTTATATATGATCATTAACAAAATTTACGGAAAATCTTATTAAGAAACAATCCTAAATAATACTCCCTCCGTCCTATAATGATCTTCCCGGTTCGCAAAACGAAGAAAAATCCCAAGTTTTTTCAATCTATTTTATTTAAATATTGGTATAGAAATAAAAAATAAAACATACATATTTAAAAACTACACCAAAAGTTCAACAAAACAAGTGGTGACAAGAATATTTTATTTTATCATATAGGTCATGAAAAAACACAAATAAATATAAATTTCCGTGAAGTTGGAATAGTGCTCTGAGAAGATCATTATAGGACGGAGGGAGTAACATTTTAGTGCATATATAAATTAAATAATTATTCTAATGTTTATATAAACTAATTATTAAAATATTAAATCAATATTATGATCACGGGTATATAATTCATCACCTTACTTATATTATGTATCTTGGATAATACAAATATTATTTTCAATATCTTTACTTATATATGGCAATCCTTAATTATGTATCTTGGATAATCAATAATATTATATGTAAATATTTGTATTCAGATTACAACAATACGAACTTCAATTACGATGATAATATAAAAAATTATAAATATATATGAAGAAATATAAATACTATTTAAAAAATACAAAAAGAATATTTTTAATTAATTTAAATAGAATTTTAGGACCATGCTACATGTATTAATCCTTTACCAAGGAATTCTCACCATAATAAAGTCATTCGTAAAATACAAAAGGTAAGTAAATAATTAAATGTGAAACTGTCCTAATACGGCCGTGCATTAGAAAATGATTCATGCATAGCCATGAATGATATGATATGATTTCAAGAATAGATTACTTCCCTAACATATGGTGATTGACAAAATTTACGAAAAATATTATTAAGAAACAATCCTAAATAGTACTAAATTTGAAAATTATGATCACGAGTATATTATTCATCACCTTACTTATATTATTTTTGTTGGATAATACTTATATTATTTTGGATCCCTTTACTTATATATGGCATTCGTTAATTATGTATCTTGAATAATCAGTGATATTATTCTGGATTCGTTTAGTAAGATATTCATTATATCTAGAATGGACCCAATATTATTTTGAATTCCTTACTTATATATCTAACTGGCAATGAGTTAAATTACTCACTTTTATATCNACATGGACGAGATCAGCTAGAGATGCAAGAGAAATGAGAAAATGAATACTTCAACCAAAAAAGATAGAAAAGGTACGCACTTTAAAGATTGTTTTATCTTAATACATTTAATTTTGTTTTATTATTTTAAGGTAATTTGATGCATAACATTTTTGAATTATTTAAAATAACAAAATGAAATGGGATATGTTAGTGACCAGAATTTTTGTATTTAAAATTTATATGGTTGCTTTTTAATGAGCATTGAAAAATTTTCTTATCTTCATATATAAATCATTAGTATAGATAAATTAATTTATGTTAAATAAAAAAAGTTTTATACAAAATTTAATATTAGATGTCAATTTAGAAGGATTTAACACTCCAAGAAAAGATAAAAATATATGTTTAGTCATGTTATTTTATAGTCATGTTATTTTATCAATTATAATCTGCATCCGTAAAAAAATTAAACGTCGTTCATAGGTTACATAAAAATCATGGATAATTAAAATGTATAATTGTTGATTTATCTAGGCATGCATATAGCTCACTGATTATTTTTATCAATTTTATATTTACATCAATAGGAATAAAATGATGTCTAACCATGACTCTTTAATTTCATTTTTCTATATTTTTTATGAAAAAAAATAGTTTATACATATTGAATATTTTAAACAATTGAATGGACGAATATTGACAAAGTTGAGTAAAAACATATTCGTATTTAAAATCTTTTAAATAAAATTCAAAACTTTGCAATAAATTTGATATGAAATGGGTGAATATAAAAAAAATGTGATTACATATTTTAAAACAAAATGGTATGCATGCGAGGAAAAAAAATAGGCATTGATACGGAATGATCAATGTAAAAAATTCAAAGTTCAAATATAATTTTTAAATTGGAAAATTTACTTATATCTAACACGTAATTCATTTATCAAAATGGCAACTAAGCTGTGTTCAACTGAAATAATTGATACTCCATATATATATTCATAGTGAGAGGAATTTACCTAAATAACACTAAAACATAATGACTTTCCCTAAATAGCAACATATGTTTTTTATTTTCCAATGTAGCACTTTTAGTCATTATCCATTAGTCGTTATTTAGACAAATGTTCACCGTCACAGAATATTATTTCTCCTTCTAGACATTATTAAGTGTTATTTAAGGGATACAAAGTTTAAGTCTTACTAGTATCACACCCGTGCGTTGCACGGGTCATAGTTATGTTACTAAATTAAGATCATTTTTAAAGATATAAATTTGTATATATTGGAATGTAGAATGTTCATTATTTTAAAGTACAAACATAAAATGATTTACAAATTTTGAAAGACTTCTTTATAAACTACATTACTCAAATAATTCGTGTGAGTATTCATTTCGTTGTATATCAAGATCTTCAAGCCTTTGCGATTTATTACTCATGAAACTGCAACATACAGTTCCTTATGACTAAATACAGGTTTCCATAATAAAAATTCAACATGTTTCTGATATTGTCCCTGAAAAAATTCAATAATTTGACTTATCTAAGCAATAATTCAACATATTAATGTATTTATTTTAGAATTTGTAGTTTTTTAATTTTATTTCCATATTTAAATAGTACCATTTACTTACCCTACGATATTTATTTTCTATTTTATTTTAGATCAATTACCATTTTTACATGTGTCCATACTTGTAAATTATAATATTAATAATATTAATTTTAGAATACTTACCATTGTTACATGTTTCCATGTTTATAGTATAAATAGTATTAATTTATAATTTTTTTTATTTTTGCATTTAAATGGTACCATTTACTTATTGTACCGTATTTCCTTTTTAATTTATTTAAGAACACTTACCATTTTTACATGTTTCTATGCTTGTATATTGTAGTATTAATTAATAGTATTAATCTATTGTTTTTCTAATTTATTTTTGTATTTAAATTGTACTCCGTATCATTTACTTACCATACCGTATTTATTTTCTAATATATTTTAAAGCACTTACCATTTTGATATTTGTTTTATTTTCTAATTTATTTAAAACACTTACCAAAATTATTTTAGAAAATTTATCTTTTATTTTCTTTTTGTATTAAAATGTTACCATTTGTTTATCGTGATGACGTACAGTACCGTATTTATTTTATAATTTTCTAATTAGAACACTTACCTTTTTAAAAAAAAATTCATGTTTGTAATTTATACTATTAATATTAATTTTGAAATTTTTTATTTTATTTTCGTATTTAAATGGTACTAATTACTTACTGAACCACATTTATTTTCTAATTTATTTTATAACATTTATCATTTTTAGATGTAATTTACTTTCTCTTTTATTTTAGAACACTTACCTAATTTATTTTAGAATACTTACCATTTTTTTGTTTACATTTTTAAATGATGCCATTTGCATACCGTACCATACCGTATTTATTTTCTAATTTTCTAATTAGAACACTTATCATTTTAAAACGTTTCCATGCTTGTATTAATATTAATTTGTAGTTTTTTTTATATATTTTGGTATTTAAATGTTACCATTTACTTACCGTACCATATTTATTTTCTAATTTATATTAGAAAACTTACCATTTTTACACATTCGTGCTTGTAAATTATAATATTTTTTTGAAATAACTAATTAATTTGTACGTAGATTTTTTTTAAACAAATCATTCTAATCCCGCCCATACTTTATTAATTTGGAGTTTTTAATTTTATTTTCATATTGAAATGGTATGGTATTTTATTTTCATACTATAATTCCTCAGTGGCTCACAACTATCTAATTTATTTAATTTAATTTAAATACTTAAATGGTGTAGCATTTAAATAAAAATTAAAACATACTTAAAATGGAAGGGAACTAATTAAACTACCATTTGTGTAATCAACACTTTCCATATATGAGTCTCATGTATGGGCGGCAAAAATATTCATCTCTTTTTAAATAAAGTATTGATAATAATGAACAGTCAATATTATTATTCTTGTGGTCGAAAGCTATAAAAGGTAATAATGTATAATTTCTTTTATAATTTTTGTTTATTACCAGCCTTTAATTTTCATAAAAAGTAATACGGAGTACTAATTTTTTTCTTTATAAAATATAATAATGTACCGTAATTGAAATTAAAGAAAAAAATTTATTGCCTTTATAAAAGGTAATAATGTTCCATCAAAATTGATATTATGGTCGAAAGCTTTAAAAATAATAATGTACCATTTTCCCCATAGTTTTAGTTTATTACCTGCATTTTCATAAAAGGTAATGGAAATTTCATTTTTTATATAGAAAGTAATAATATACCGTATTACATCTATAAAAGCAATAATGCATACCAAAGAGTGACAATTAAAAAAAGCTAATAATGTAAAAAAAAACTTTCTATAATTAAATTATCGTATTTTTCCATAATAATGAACATCTATTCCACTTACCATTTCAAAGATATTTTAATTCTTACCATTTTCACACATCATTTGGGCGGGAAAACCCTGGGTGAAAATTCCCCTGCTTTTAAGTATAGTATAGATTTTGGGAAATGACTTTTGTTTTAGTGTTATTTAGTGCACATATGAAAAATAAAAAATTTGAAAAATTATATTGGGAAAAAGTTTGAAAAATGAAAAATGAAAAATTTGAAAAATGAAAAATGAAAAATGGAAAATTTGAAAAATGAAAAATGAATAATTTGAAAAGGTTTAAGTCTTATATTGGGAAATGACTTATGTTTGAAAATATGAAAAATTATTCTTTTATGAGGATAAAGAACTATTGGCACCAACTCTCGAAGTAGTTGAAATGATAAATGAATTTGTTCTGTCCCTCATTCCTGGTGATGAAAGAAAGTATTTGAGTTCTGATTCTTCGTGGAAGCAGATGTAGGTGTTGATGGCGATTGGATAACAGTTGAGTTTTTGAACGAAATCAAATGTTTGGGAATCCCAAACCACAAAATAGTCTTGAAAAAAGGGGTACCGATTATGCTATTGAGGAATATTGACCAAACATCTGGATTGTGTAATGGGACAAGATTAATCGTTCAAGACCTGCGAAATAATGTTATTGGTGCAATTGTGGTTTCGGGAAATCAAGTCGGGGAAAAAGTTTACATCCCTAGAATGAATTTGGTACCATCTGATCTAGGGCTACCATTGAAGTTCCAAAGAAGATAATTCTTGATCGCCTCATGTTTTGCTATAACAATCAACAAAAGTCAAGGTCAAACATTGTCATTTGTGGGATTATTTTTAAGCAAGTCAGTGTTCACACATGGTCAACTATATTTTGTTGTTTCACGATTGAAGACAAAGACCGGATTAAAAATATTAGTTCTAGATGACAATAGAAACCTTTGCAATCATACCAAAAATGTTGTATACCCTGAAATATTTCAGAAAATTTGGTATTAAAATAAACATTATTAACTCTACATTCTGTTCCTCAAATATTATTTATTTTACTTTGGCTTTTTTCATTTGTAGTATTAAAAATCATGTGAGCAATATATTTACTTTATTCTGAAAAATAAATTTCATTAAAATAAATTTAGAATCGACATAAATTTCTTTCGACTCCGTGCATGACACGGGTCAAAATACTAGTAAATTATTAAAATAAACAATTAAATAAATATTCATCTTTGACTTGAGGAGTATATATATGGAGTGTTCTTCTTTTTTACTTCCTCCGTCCCTAAATAGATTACGATCTTTTTTTCTCTCTCCTCTCGATAACTTTTGTTTGTTTACGCGATTTCATTAAGTATTTGATAAAATAAAATATTCTTGTCACCTCTTGTTTTATAGAACTTTTGACGTAGTTTTTTAATATATAATTTTTATATCTTATTGATATACCAATTTGTAAATAAAATGATTTCAAAAACTAGGAAATTTTATTCCGTAACCCGCAATTTGTAATCAAATTCGGGATGGAGGGAGTAATTGTTTCCGTCAAACCAATCCTCGATATAAGAAAAAGTGCAACTGGTAATCATTTCTCGGCTTTCCAGATTTACGGAGATACTCCGGGAGAATGCCGGCAAGTCCGATGATATCTCTCTCGCCGGAGAGTTTTAGCAGCTTCTCGAACCGGAATCTCGCCGATATTGCGGCGAGAGTCGTCGAAGAGTTCAGAGCCGAGAACGGATACGATTCGGATTTTTTCGAAGAAGAAGAAGAAGACGGCGTGTTTGGCGTTCTCGAAGGCGATGTAAAGCTCGTCTCCGGAGATTCCGTGAAGGCGGAGGGAAAAGACGACGGCGGAGACGGAGAGGAGGTTGAATTCGAGTTTGTTCCCGGAGGTGGTGAGTTTTCTCCGATTTCTGCGGATGAGATTTTCTACAACGGCGAGATCAGGCCGATTTTCCCGATTTTCAACCGGAATCTGTCGACTGATTGCGTGAATTTCAATTCCGAACAGACGACGAGGTCAAATTCCGGTGATGAGCGGGCGGTCACAAATCCGCCGCCGAAGATTCGGCTCCCGTTGAGGAGACTGTTCAACGAGGAGCTAGAGCCCCCGCCACCGCGCTCCTCTCCGGAGGAAGACGAGATCTACGGCATTCCGCCGGGGACGTACTGCGTGTGGCGGCCGAATGCTTCGCCGGGGAAACCGTCCGCGAGGATGTGCGAGAAGAGCAACTCCACCGGCTGGTCGAAGCGGTGGAAGTTCCGAGACCTCGTCCACCGGAGCAACAGCGACGGTAAGGACAGGTTCGTCTTTCTGTCGCCGTCCGTCAAAAACGGATCGCAGGATTCGGAAAATCCAGCCGCAGGCGAGGCTTCGAACGCCGCCGAGAAACCGCGATCTCCGCCGCTCTCCGGTGATAAACGGCGGTCGTATCTGACGTACAAGCAAGACTTGGTTGGGTTCTTCGCCCACACGAATGGGCTGAGCCGGAGTTTACAGCCTTTCTAAAAAAGCCCAATTCAATCCCAATGGGATAATTAGCTTCTAAACGAGATTTAGGAGATTTAGGAGTATATTTTTGTTAATAATTTCATAAATAAAATAAAATATTCAAGTTAAATTTTAATTTATGGATTATATTTCTATACTTATTTTTTAAAAAAAGTAGATACTATTGGGTTTGAAATCAAAGTTAATTATCACTTGATTAAATTTTTAATGTCATTGCTTTGACGATTGTTTGAGACTTTGTATTGATTTAACCGTACTTGAAACTTTAAATTCCTCATCTTGTTCCATGTAAATCTCTTCGTCTATATCTCTACTAAGGCTCTGTTACGTTCAACTTATTTTTTCTGATCTGATCAGATATTTTGTAGTTCTGATCTGATCTGGTCTGATTTGATCTTATTGGATCTGATCTGATTAGATCTGATCTGATTGGATCTGATCTGATTGAATCTGATCTGGTCTGATCTGATTGGATCTGATCTGATCTCATCTAATTGGATCTGATCTGATTAATTATGATTTGATATAAAATTCAAATCAATAATTTGATTTGAGTTTGTAATAATGTTTGAAAATTGTAATGGTAATTCATATTGTAATATAATCAATATTTTTTATTTTATAATTATTTTTTAATAAAATAAAATTAGTTAATTTATATATTAGAATAATCATTCATATTTTAATGTAATGATATTTTTTATTTTATGATTATTGTTTGTGAAATAAGAATATTGATTTAATATTTTAATAATTAGTTCATACATACATTAGAATAAATATTTAATTTATATATAATCAATACAGAGAAGAGATAGTATTTTTATTAAAATATCTCATCCTTATAAAAGATCAAAACTTTAAAAACTCAAATTACAGGTAGCAATAAAAATGTATTTTAAAAGTATAATTAGATTGACATTGTCAATGTATTTTAAAAACAATTTTTTTGACGTCTAATAATTAATGATTAATTTCTAATTTTACTATTTAACTTGTTTCTAAAGTTTATTCTTTTTCATTTTTAATAATAATAATAATAATAAGAATAATAATAATAATGATAATAATAATAATAATAATAATAATAATAATAATAATTCTTTATGGGATCTGATCTGGTCTGGTCTGATCATATTGGATCTGATCTGATCAGATCTGTTTGAATCTTGCCTGATCTGATCTGGTCTGATCTGATCTGATTTTAATAAGAATAAGAAAAAATAAATTGAACGGAACAGGGCTTAAAGAATTTTAGTTTTACATCAATTTGATAAACTTTTAGAATTAGCAAATAAAAAATTGTAAGTATCATTGTAATAAAATTTAGAGTAAAATCCATAAATGATTCTTAATTATAGATGGTTTTAATATTTAATCTCCAATTTTAAGATATTACATAAATGATTCTCAAATTTTGAATACAATTTCATAAATAGTCTTTTAGGCTAAATATGTAAAAATATTTTTTTCACATATAGTTCCTGAAGGATCGATTATGTAATAATTCTCAAAAATTAGAGATCATTTATGTAATATCTTAGAATTAGAGACTAAATATGAAAAATCACATGTAATTAGGGATCATTTTTTAAATTATTCTAAAATTTATTTTGATTACACGAACATAGATATCAAAGCAATCGAAACCTTTGTGTTGAATGTAACCCTAATTATAAGTTTGACTTTGTACTTATCAATGTAACTATTAAATCTTATTTTACTCCTAAACATCCACTTCGAAACTAACGACTTGCAGCCTAGATGTCGATTCACTAACTTCCAACTATATGGTGGCTGAATAGTTGGTTCAATCGTTTAAATAAACTTTGTGTTGACTTCGCCTTAAGACAAGTCTCATATTTGTAGGGCAGGTTGATGTCAAACTAAGGGTATATCCCATGTTAATTTTTTTCTGAAGAGATCCTCAATTGACATGTCTTAACCTACCATGACACAAATTTGAAGACTCACAAGTGTGACTATAATTTGCTTAAATCATGTGGAAGCCATGTTTATTTTACAATGAGCTTGACGCCAAGTTCTTATGAATGTCTAGTACATAAAGTGCATCATTCAATGAAAGCTCTTTGTCGGATATCATCTTGAGCTTCACATTTCCATATGTCTTGAATCTTAGATTTGTCCGAGTTGCCCACCCAAACCATGTCGTTGGAAGGCTCTTTAAAGTCGAAGAGCATGGCCTTAGCTTGTACAAGCATATATAACGAGTGGCTTTAATATCGGCCCATCACTCCTTCGGGTTAGACTTCACGATGCTAACCTCTGTCATAATTACAGCGAGACCATAGTATCTTGCTCCGAGCAGAGAGAACTCATTTTTTGTCCTTATTTTGTTGCTTCTTTCTGCACTCTAAAAAACGATGACTCTTTAATAAACACTTATGTGTAAACTTTACTTTCCCGATGCCTCATTTAGGACCTAGTGATTTCTTGTCTTTCTTAGGCTTGTGCCCCTTGGAAGAATCACATTTTAAAAGAAGCTCCACCACATTGGTCTTAACAGCAGTTTGTTTCGTCTCATAATCCTGTCCTAGCAGGCGGACTAACTGCTACTGTAATGTTACTTCTATCCATTTGAGCTTAAGATAGCTCTAGAATTCTTCCCAAGACCGCGGAAGCACATGGATAAACTTGGAATGATTCAGTGACTCTCGTTCCGTCTTAAGTGTACTCGTAAAAAATGAACATTAACTTTTAAGCTTCATCTGTCATCGATGTAGAATCCACCATTTATAAATGTGTAGTACTTTGATGTGACCTGCCATTGCATGTGAACTTTTATTCTATAAGTATTTCGATAAAAATTCTACATGTATAAATTTTATTTTTCAACTTTTCACTTATATTTAAAAACAAAAAAGAGTAAACATAATATCAATGAATAAGGTGTTAGGTGTGTAAAGAAAATTAATAGGATGGGGGTAGAAATATTTTCAAAGGTGGAGTATCTTAAATTTAAAGTGACTACATTGTGGAAAGAATGGAGAAATCAATGCCTAAAGGCTTTTAAGCTAACTTTCGGCTTGCCAAAGTGTCGAATCAACATGAGATTTGTGCACTCTTTTCCTCCTTGAATTAATGAAAAGTTAACTTGATTGATATATCAAGATAATATTTCTATTTATAAATTTATTGCTCACACAATTTATTTCTACATTTGACCCGAAATTTTTTTACTTTGTTTTTTAAAATCTTTTTAAGAAAATTTTGGGTTCTTTATAAACAAATGAATGACTGTTTTGCAACTACTTTCCCTTGAGTGAATGAGTGAAAAAGGAAAATGACAATTTAAGCCATCAAAAAGTACTTCCAAATCTCATCCCTTATTCATAATTGATTATTACTCCCTCCGTCCAGAAATATTCTTCCCATTTGACTTTTTACCGTCTCCAAGATTGCACTTTGACCACTAATATCTTTATTTATACATGGATATATTTTATAAAAATTTGATGTTTGAAAACTATATTTCAAAATGAATGTATTCATATTAAAGTTATATTGTAATACAATGTATTTTTTCCACATATCATAGTCAAAGTTTACAAATTTTGACCAAGAAAAGTCAAATGGGAAGAATATTTCTGGACGGAGGGAGTATAACTTTTGTGATATATTTCCTTCATCCCAATGTAAATTGTTTTTTTGATTTACGATGTTTGATAGAAATTATTTTCAAATCATTTTATATAAAAACAGTGTAGAATTAAAAAAATAAAAATTACATATTTAAAAACTACATCAAAAGATATGCTCCGTATAAAAATAGTGCTGACATGACTGTATTATTTTATCAAAGACTAACGAATATAAGAAAAGAAAGTGAATAAATTTTGACCCTTAGAATTAACTGTAGAACAGACAATTTAAGTTGGGACAGAGGAAATACGTAGTATCAAAATTTAAATAAATATTAATGTAACATATTCTCTCCGTCCAAATTTGACTTGCACTCTTCACATTTCAAAAGTCACAAAAATTGTTGTTTATTTGTGTGTGTTTTGATTGATTACTTGATAAAATAAAGTACTTTTCTCACTCTTGTTTTATAAAACTTTTGATAAATGTGTAAATTTTATTTTTAATTTATGTACCAATATTTAAAGTATATATAAACATTTTGGGATGAAGGGGGTATAAGCTTTGTGATATACGGAGTACCAAAATTTTAATAGCACTCGTATGATTTAAGAATGAGTGATTCACACATATTCATTCACACTTATATATTCTCTACAAGGGAGGAATTCCAAGTTCGAAACCTAGTGGTTGCGATGATGCAGCATGAAGCTTCTGCAAGTACCAAGTATGAAACATCATCCTTATACCAATTGTCTGAGATTATAACTCAATTTATATCTTTTCAGCTAACTGTCCGACTATATGAGAGGCCATCAGGGATGAGGTGTCATCCTCTTTTTTATATATGCTCCCTTTGCCTCTAAACTAAAAGCATAGTTTGGATTACAAGGCAAAAACACACATTTTTAAAAATTATTTTATTTAAAATTTGTATTGAAATAAAAAACACGGAGTGTATATATTTGATAATTATGTTAAAAGCTTTACATAATAAGAAATGATATTATAATATTTTTATTTTGTTTTATGAAATAATTAATAAATTCTGAAGAATGAAGAGTGTAAACAACAACATAGAATTCAAAATGTATGAGATGAAAGGCACTAAAAGAGGAAATGTTGGGGGACACAATGCGCGTCGGCGGAATGGAACATATGGGAATTTGTACAAAGATCATTTTCATTGATGTAATTAATTGCTTTTCTTTTAAGAAAACTCCCTTCTTTATTATTGCTCTTTTTTTCTTTGTATAAACATCATTTTCATCGGAATTTGTACAAAGACCATTTTCATTGATATAATGATATAATTAATTGCTTTTCTTTTAAGCTAACTCCCATCTTTATTATTGCTCTTTTTTTCCTTGTTTAGACGATTAGATTGATAGGATTATAGGATAGACACCCAACTTTCTAGACTAATTAATGATAATAATAATACTCCCTCCGTCCCAAATTATTTGCAACGTTTGCTCTTTCAGCAGTCGCAGAAATTTTTGTTTATTTCTACGTTTTCATTGGTTATTTGATAAAATAAAATATTCTTGACACCTCTTATTTCGGAGAATTTTTCATGTAGTTTTTTGATATGTAAATTTCATTTTTTATTTCTATACCAATATGTAAATAAAATGAATTGAAACAACTTGATATTTTACCTCGAGAATACAAATGTGGCAAATATTTAGGGACAGAGGGAGTAAAAACAAAGATGAATTCCATCCCTACCTATATGCCTTTAAGGGCACTCGAAATACCCATGAAGCCCCGAGGGTTTCAAACCTTCTCTCCGGCATATCAGTTTTAACTTACCTCATAGTTTCAGTAGAAATGAGTTTGAAGCTCCGGGGCTTCAAACTGGAGCTTCAAATCTTAATTTTTTACATTTTAAATACACATCTTCTAAAATTAAATTAATTAAATTTAAATATTTAACTATTTAAAAGAATTGAAACGAGAATAGTTCATTAAAAAAATTGCATTCATTATAAAAAATTACATTCATTAAATAAAAAAATCACATTCATTAAATAAAAAATTCCATTCATTATAAAAAAACTACATTCATTAAATAAAAAAATTACATTCTTTAAATAAAAAATTACATTCATTAAAAATAAAAAAATACTTGAATATGTTAAATATATTAACTATTTTAATACATTTAGTATTATATATTATAATTATGGTTGTTACCTATTATAGTTAGAGTTATTATTACATAATATTACTTTATATAATTAGTCATTAATGTGGAGGATTCTAGAATATATTCCTCCACCTATAAATACATACTTTGTATTTCTCTCTTATTCATTCAATCAATAAAGCGTTCTTTGTTATTTTAGATGGTATCAGAGCCACTGATCTTGGTGACCTAAAAAAAGATCTTTGCTCCCACCGCCGCCGCCGGTAATTCCGGCGACGGCGGCTCCACCCTATTCACCTCTATTTTCTTTTCCTTCTTTATCCTCAAATCAACGTCTCCATTCAAATGTAAAAAAAAAAGAAAAAAAACCCTGTTGAAATCACACAAAAAAAACTATCAAAGGAGGAGCTTCTCTCTTGTCATCTTCATGATTCTTCAAAAAAAACTCAACTCCTCACAAACGCTCTGAGATCATCCTATCTTCTCAAAAAAAAGAAAAAAAAAATGATTGTTGTTTCTCTCCAATTCACCATATCAAAATTTTAGACCCAAATTTTTTTTCCTATCACCAATTCTTAACTTACTTTTTTCTCTCTAAAATCACTCATTCTAATCATCAACCTCCCTTCTCTTTCTCTTCGGTAGAATCAATAAAAATCCAAAGTAAATCAGTACAAAAGCAAACCCAAGAGGGGAAGTAGTGAAAGAAGAAATAAGACCTTTACAACTCACCCCTTCAAGAAGGAAATAGGGCATTGCCCGGATCCAAGAAAAAGACAAAAAAACATCAAGGATCTTCAGTCAAACAGGCACCTCCAGTAGATTCATTCAATCAATAAAGCGTTCTTTCTTATTTTACAGAATAATAATTTTTAAAAAAATATGAAAGATAGAGAGAAATTTGTATTTGTGTTGAATTTTAAAAAAAATTAATTTAATTTATAGACAAGAAAAGAGGAAAAAAGAGGTAGAAAAAAGAAGGAAGAATGCGTTATAACGCCTTCAAATCGCGTCAAAACTTTGACGTAGGAGTTTTAACGCGCCCATAACGGGGGAGGGGGGCGGTGTTTAATGCCCCCCAGGCGTCAAAGTGAGCATAACGTGGCTGGGCGTAATGCCCATTACCACTGCTCTAAGCTAAGGATATAAAATAATCATGTCCCATGACATTGGAACTTCATGTTATGGGATGACTCATGAATGCTCCGATGTTCCGTTTGTAAAATTGACGATTCCTACCCCCTAACTCCTCGAATAAACCCCCAACCCTGTTTTGACCCGAACACACTCCCCCACCCCATTCAATTGCACCCCACAAGTTAATTTTGATTTTAGAGTCAAAATTTGACTTCAAAGTCAAAATTAACTTGTGGGGTGCAATTGAAAGGGGTGGGTCGTGGGGTGTGTTCGGATCGGGGCGGGGTGTGGAGATTTATGGGGGGTTAGGGGGTAGGAATTGTCAATTTTACGAACGGGACACCGGAGCATCCCCAGGTCTTTTCATGACATTGCCGAACAATGTTATGGGAACTGTCCCGAAAAAACTATCTAAAATGATAAATTACTCGTAAAATTTAATCATAATTAATCTGTTGATAGAGATTGCATCTCATACTTCATATTGATAGTCATTACTAGAGGTGGCAATCGGATCAACCGAGTCAGTTTCGGGTTGGATTTTTTCGGTTCGGATATCTTTCGGTTATATGTTATAATCGGTTTGGTTCGGTTCCGATCGGTTAAATTTTGGTTCGAATTTGATTTCGATTCTGTACATTTTTCGGTTCGGTTTGGTTTCGAGTCGGTTCAGATACGGTTCGGTTATAAATCAGTTCGGATAGATTTCGGTTCGGATACAATTTGAGTCGGATATATTTCGGTTTCGGGTCTAGTTCGGTTCGGATATATTTCGGTTTCGGATCAAATATATTTTGGATATATATTATTTTCTAATTAAAATTTAACTAACCGTGTTTCTTTTTATGTTTTATCACATGCATTTATCAATCTATCATCAATTCAATATCTCATATTATTTTATATTTTTTTCTAGTTATATTATCTCTACCCTAAATAATCTTCCCTTTTTGACTTTTTAGTCATATTTTACAAATTTGGACTAAAAATTATGAAAACATATATATTTAATTATGATATAAATTTAATATAATTAAATTGATTTTAAAATTTAGTTTTGAAATATCAAAATTTTCTCACATCTACTAATATACTTATGTATATAAATGAAAGGGTAAAAGATAAATTCAAATAGTCTTATTTTCCATTTGAATACACTTTGGTAAAAATTGAGTAAAATTGGGTGAAATTAAGTGAATTTTATTCAATTGAGTGCAAAATTTGTAAATTATTGATTATTTTGGTTGAAAATAGAGAAAATTAAATTTAATAGAGTCAAATATAATTAATTTGACACCTAAATGTAATGGTGTAGATCAAATTTGAAAATGATAACAGTAAAGGCTGCCGCTAAAGAGTCTTTTCAAAATGCTAACACTAGCATCTAATTTTATTGACTAATATTGAGTAAATTGGTTTGAAACTAATCAAATTAACTCTCAAATCAATAAAATTTATTGTAATGAGATGAAAATAGGATAAAATCTAGTTATTCCATACAATGTATCATATATTCCTTTCGTTCCAAAAAGAATATCACACTTCACTATTTAAAAATTATGGAAATTTTATTTGTTTGTGCGTTATTATTTATATGTATAACTTATCTTTAATTTCTACATATAATAAATTTTAAGGTATAAAATTTTGTACTTTTTTTCAAGAAGATAATCCATTTTATGAGGAAATGAGCAAGTAAAGTAATTAGTTCAAATATAATACTCCCTCCGTCCCCTTGTATTTGTCCACATTTGACTTTTGAAAGTGTTCATCTAAGCACTTTGACTCATCAAATTCTCTCAATGTGTAAGCCTAAATATAGTCATGTGTGATCTTGTTTGATTTGTCTTAACATATAGATTATTAATATATAATTTTTATAATTTTTTAATATACAAATTACAAGGTAAAATAGATTAAAGAAGTGCATTGGATGGTGTGTAAAAATGAAAGTGGACAAATACAAGGGGACGGAGGGAGTATAATGTTAGACAAGGCGTGCAACTCTAGAGGGGGGGTGAATAGAGTTGTTGAGAATGTTTACCGATTTTTGCAGGATTAATAATATAAACGTAAGTGCAGCGGAAATAAAATAGAGAAGGCAAAGAACACACCAATGTATACTGGTTCACCACCTCGTGGCTAGTCCAGTTCCCCGAGAGACTCTCTCGAAGCTACCACTACTTCTGTTAAGCTTACGGGTGCTTAACAAACCGTTTACAACTCGAGAACTTGAATCCCACAAGCCTCGACACAACCGCTCGTAGGTATGCCCTCTACAAGACTTCACAACCAAGACTTAAATCACATAAGCCTTGAACAACAAGAAGAACAATCTTCTTCAACCTCTCAACAATAGCTCTCAAAAGAGTAGATAAGAGAAATGATTAAATCTCTAATGGATGACAAAACACTCTCTTGAAAACACTTAGTTTTCTCTCAAAATAATATAAATTTGAGGAAAGATTGATGGAGGATTAACACCTCAAGAATGAGGAGAATTGGAGTGTTTCTTGTTCTGAAAAAAAGACCAAGGAAGAGTGTTTAAATAGAGGAAAAGGAATAAATCCGTTGGAAGTGGGGAAGGCTGATTTTGA